TTACCTTTGGCAGATAAGCGCATGGAAAAAGAAAGAGATTTAGAAGATTTGGTAAAACGAAAAGACTGGGAACTGAAATTAGCAAAGAAAGCTGAAAGAAGACGCAAGCGTCATCATAAAATTAGTACAAACAGTAGTTCGAAAAACTATCGTGCAAGGTTCTATTTTCCAAATTGATGCACCACTTTTATGTCGCTAATACTTCCCACTTATTTTGGGTTGTGACATTATTCAAATGATCTTTTTCAGAATTTTACCGTAGTGTGAACTTTTCGATTCTCATCATTACTCTTTTACAGTTCCTTCAGTTTCAAAAAAAAAAAAAAAAAATGTATTTAAATTTGCCTTATACTAATTCTTTGCTTGTTTGTAGTAAAAGTCTGGTAGATAACAAAAACAATTCAAAGAAACTGGTCGTTATACAAGCTTTTAGTGGATTGAAAGGCCTAGCTGGTGACGAAAAGCAAGGGAAGTCTGATGAGGTAAATTATACATGTTTAAAAACATTTCTGGTTAGACTTAGGAGTGATGTTGGATGGGAGGATTAACTGATTTTATGTACTAAGTTATCTTTGACACTTCGGGAGCTGTAACAAAGTTGGATTTTTTTTTTTGTTAACTTAACAAATAATGATGTATTTTGAGTGAATGTCGTCTGTTGGCAATACGAGAGTTTCATGCATTTTCATTAGACTACTTTTTCCAATTTCTTTTAGTCGGCTGGCTAAGTTCCCAATTTTACTTTAGACTGTTTGCTTTTTGCAATTAACTTTTTACATCTTCCTGAATTGGTTCCAATCTCTGTGTTCCTCTTTAGATTACATAACTTTTTTCTCACAACAATAGCGTTCGATGTCTTATTCATGATGTATAGTTTTGATTCCGTGTCCTCATTGCAGATATCACTTTAATTTTCAGCAACCGGCTCATTTGATGACAGCTTCCTCATCAGCTAATCTTCTTACGGTCTTACCTGAACCTAGGAATGCTTCAGGAACCTCAAGAAATTTAAGTCTTTCCACGCCTAACAATACACATTCTTCAGAAAATGCTAAAATGTCTAAAGTTAGTAAATCTGTTGTTTTCATAAGTTTCTCAGTATTGCAGGTTTTTTAGATAAATCTGTTTTGACCGAATATTACATCTCTTCTGATGCTTATCGTTTAATGTCAATGTCTTTATAGATTCTCGTTGCCAGAGAAATTTCGAAAGAATCAAAATTTACTAAAGAAAGTGATGATGCATCTGATGAAGATCATGATTCAACAGACTTCTTTGGTCTCAAAGCATTTGATAATCCTCCTGTAGTATCGAATATTACATCTGTTTCAAATATTTCAGATGACAAAAAACTTGGCCAGGTTTGGTTTAATTTGAGTTTTATCTTTCCGTCTATATGGTCCGGTCAATATTTAGATATGCATTTCTACGTATATTTGCATATAGTTTGTGACTCTTTGATATGACATCAAGCTACATAACATCAAAGAAAGCATATATATATGCTTTGTAGTATTTATAATGCCGTGAAGGTTTACAGACGAATACGATTTACCGTATATGCTATAATTCAGGAACATTGATTTTTTCTCTCTATTTAATTTTAATTTGTAAGTCAAAATTAGTTCTAATTGTTATTGTGAAAATATATTAGTCGTCAACTTTTAGGTCGAAGTTGACGAAACTAGTTCAAAAATCCAATATCTGACAACTCGACATCCTTAAACTCTAATTTTATTGCATTACATCTTTTGCTATTTAACATTTCTTATGAAGTTCACATAACTTTAATCATTGTTGGTTTATTTAAAGAGTCTGAGAAATATGAAAAGTAAATTTAGTAATCAAATGAAAGTTTTGTGACCGGGGAAGTTTCTTGTTCTTGGTTCACTTTTCTCACTTTTGTTTCAGGATGTATAGCATAGTTTATGACCTTTCATTAAGTTGTTGATTAAAATTAGACTGCACAGTCTGTTCTGACACCAATTAATAAAACTGTCTTCTGCCTGTATTGTTTCTAATGAATCTATAGGTTATAGGTCGGACTAACAAGTGATGCAAAAGTTGAAAATAATATATTTGAATTCGTTTCTAATCCAGAAATTATTGCTGAGTGTTATGATACATCTACCTCCACTACTTCGTCTGGAGTTATTGATGACAGTGTAAGTTTCTATGATCAGTTTTTTTGGACACATTCTGCATCTCTCAATAGTCAAAAAGTATAGATTGAGGACATTGTTTTTTATACTAGTAATAGAGATGGAGCAAATTAATGAAAAAGTGTCCACAAAATTCTGCGGATGTAAATGTTGTATTTAATGTTGCTTTCAACATCGTGAAACTTTTGATTGGAACTGTTTTTAGCAAGCTTTATACATGATTTATTCACGTGATATTGCTCATTTGGGTGGCACAGTTTCGAATGCTGCTAAAGCCGTGGAAAATATAGTCGATGTTAGTGTTGATAAGGTGAACTGTTTTTTCAAGTCATTACTGTCTAATCATAAGAAAACTTATATCGATTTCTGATTATATACAATTTTTTAACATCCTGGGTGTAATTGATTTTTCAAGGTCTTGGGTCCAAACGTTCGTTCGACACTTCTCAAAAATCTTCATAACAAATCGCTTACGGAAGCAACTTTATCACATCTTGCTAGCATGCCAAAAAGCAAAGATACTGTTAGCATGCTGGCACGACGAAAACATCAGATCACATATCTTGCCAGTGTTGTAAGTACTTCGCCTTCATACTACCCTTACGGCATATTTTGTTCGCATTCTATTATTTAACTTTCATTTAGTTTCACTGTTATGCATTCAAGATATCAAATTAGTTGAAATGATGTTTTAGGCAGTAGCCAGAGAAGAACAGCTTGCTGAGCAATGGTCTGTGAATCGACATAACAAAAGAACGTCGGCAAGAAAATATGGATTTTAATAAAGATCACTAAATGCTACTTATAGTATTTTATGCTTCTGTAGTTGACTAGTTTTTTATTTCAAATCACTTTTAGTGTGTTTCCGTATAAATTGATGTTTCTTTTCTGCATATCTGTACTTGTTGAGAATTCACTTTTAATGACATAAAAATGTAAAAATATTACTCTTCCAGAAAATAGAGGTACTTTTTAGGATATTGATAAAATTCATCACTTTCTGAATGGAATTTTTCCCGTTTGTAAATATTGTTAATTTCTATGTTCAAATTTTTCGTAAATTAAGTTTGTAATAAAGCTTGCCTCCTTTTTTGCCAAAATATGACAAGGATGTATGAACATTTTTTACAAAAATAATTTGGAGGATGGGAAATAGGCATGATGGACGAGCAAATTCATTTGTTTGACAGGTTGGTGCAACTTTGATACTAAGTATATGGTTCGACTGTCAGCAACAGTTACTAATAATCAGGACGATGAGTGTGTGCTTGGTAATTCTCAATGTGAAATTAATCAAAATGAAAGCTAATCTAAAGTATTCGTTAATTTGCTACGGAATAAGAACGAATTTCTCCTGAAGAAATTGGTTGGAATTGGGGACGTCTGGGGAGGGGGTGAGTACTTCGGGTTCATGATTTTCAATGCTAATTTTTGGGTTGATTCCTTTTTCGGGACTAAGTTGTGTTTTTCTTTTGCCTCTTAAATTTCACTAATTCAGTTTTTCTATATTGTATATACTGTAGGTGTTTTTTATTTTTGTTTTTGAAGTTGTAAGCAATTAATTGCACTGTGGAGATGAGGATGGTGTGTCACTTTGAATTTATATACGAGATATTAAAAAGTATTCGGTAATAAAAGTTGTTACTATATCATTTCTGATAATATCATTTTGATGATGTTTCTTCAGCATTACAAGTCCGGTTTTGGCAACAGATAATGTAATTTGTGGTTAAATATAAGCAGAGTAGTGCGAAAGTACTTCAGTAGAATCTGCATTACTTGTTTTCACGTTTAGATCATATTTATTACCTGTGCCCAGTTATCGTTCTATGTCGTTTTGCGTTTATGTACTCAGAATTACTTACTGATCAGTTATTATTGCTAAATGTTTTATTGTTGACAAAAGACGAATTCTTCACATAAGTTATAATATAATTATCAGAAAATAAAAACTTAAAACAACAGTGTGCAGTATTATGAGATGATTCAATTAACGGATTGTCCTTCTTCATTGTCCTCTAGAAATTTAGTAGGAATTGGTTGAGGTTGTCGCTTAATAGAGGACTGATGAAGTGTAGTGGTGGTATTGAAATAAACCAGATCAAAGCGCACTATTGTTGTAGTTGAGTTTTTGAGTCTTTAACGAGAGTTATTTCTTTCTTAAATAGCGTGAATTTGTTTACAACATTTGAAATTGCAAATATCATTACCAGATTGAGAAAGGAGAGCTGAATAATGATTTACTAGCTTTAGCATTTGGCATCATTTATTATATAGAAATTTTTCTACTTTTGCATAATGAATTGTCTGGAAAATATTCAAATAAAACAAAACATTAGAAACTTCCGTATTATGAATTTACTTCAATCAATATGTTTTTATGTTTTCAAAATATTTCGTTTTCGCAACAATCATTGCATCAAAATTTTCACATTCGTAAATGAAGATGATTGAATCTCATTTTGTTTTATTCATCGCATCACAGTCAATTTTTTGATGTTATTTCTAACAATGATTTTTCTATTCCCAATTTACTTTGGACCTAAAATGAAAATTAAGACTTCAATGTGAAAGATTGAAATGAACTCTTCCTTCTTTTGCTTCATTTCTACTGTTAAGATATCTTACATCGAAAGCAGTAGATAAGGATAGTTTGTTTATACCTATGCATTTCAAACCTGTAAATTCATGGACAAAAATAAACATATAGTGCAAACATTGCAACTTTTCTTTTACATAGGTTGGCCTTGCTAATTGTATTTCTATATGTATTATATATATTTATCTGTGTATGATTTACATTTTTTTAAATTTAATAGACAGTTTCCTGAAGAAACAATGGACTCTACTTATTCTCCTCAGATCATGATTCGATCAGTATCGATTATCATTGTGTGGATTTTTGTTGTGGAAGCAAGTCGAATCATTCTTCATTCAGAATGCAAGTTCATTTTCCAATCTGACTTCTGTAAGCTGGAAAACGAAGATATGAAATGTGGTTTATAAGTTACTGATATCATTTAAGCAACAGACGCAGATAGAGGAAACGGTAGTGAGGAAGAACAGTGGATTAATGAGATGGTTAATGGTGACTACAATGATGATGATGATGATAATGATGATGATGATAATGATGGTGGTGATGATGATGATGATAATGATAATAATAATAATGATTATGAAGCTTTCACAAATGAAAATACCGAGGATAGCGATATTCATGTTAGGTTTTCTGAAAAAATGAACAGTTGAGAAATTTCGTTGTGGAATCAGCATATTTTCAAAATCTTTGTTGTAATTATTTGTAATTGAATTTTCTTTAGCGCCTTTGCTCTTTTTAAACCATAATAACAGTTTCTGAGATTTGGAAGGAGGTCAAAGGAATAACTTCATGCCACAAATATTATTGCTCAGAAAGACAAAATAAATGAATGGAAAAGTAGTGATAACGACAATGAGAATTTAATCAATGACGAATCAAAGAACGACAACAACATTGTTGCCGAGATTATAACTAACAACTCAAATGGTAATGAAAGTAATGGTGAAAACGTTTCTGAGAAAGAAGATGATGACGAGATTGTACGAACCTTTTCTTTTATATCCTTACTATTTGACAGATTTATATTTCGTTATAATCACAGTCTACATACATTTTCTCTGCAGCTTCTAAATCAACTAGATTTAGTATCATCACACTTCAAATAAACGCACTTTTTCGATAAACTGAATGTGCTTATAACTACAGCAATGAGATTTGCGGTAGGTAATATCATGAAAAGCAGATAAAGACATTATTTTAAGTGATAAAATGTTTTCTTTTAAGCATCAGTTTCTAAATCTAACAGAAGAAATGAGCAATGGTTCATGAGTTTTATGAGATGAAAATAACCCTTAGAGTGAGTGAGTGAGGGTAATGCTATGATTTATAATTTTCGATACTAATTATAAATTATCTATTGGATGAGAAATCACTGAATAGGAAACCATCTTATTTTGGAAAATGAAACAACATGTAATATTTGAGGATAAACTTGAAGAATCATTGTCTTCTACTAAAGAAGCGAATATAATCGATTACACTCACAGTATTTCTTCGGCGCCAAAACATCATATTTGGATGGAAAAAAGAATGATCGGTGTTGTCGTTAAAAAAAATGGTAATTTTAAATTTCAGTCTATGTTTGAACTTTTTAGATTTGTAAACATTCTCCATATTTAAACTTTTTTAAATGAAAATAGTTTATTTGCAAGAACATAGCTCACTTCTGATGGTAACCATGGTGAAATCGTCCCTTGTAATATTTAACTGACGTTATTAAATTTCAGGTAATGTAACATTATTAGTCCAGATAATTACCCAACTTCTTCGGAATTCAACTGCTGTTCTTATCTTGCTTGATTTTTAATAGTTAACAAGAAATTTTAGGATTAAGACAATTGTATGCTTTAGACTAGAAGCCATTCAAAATTGCAAACGTGTTATTGAAAAAGATTATTACTAATCTTTTTCAATAACACGTTATCAAAATTGATTAATAGACATGTCTCTTTATCACGTATTCTTTTTTTGTTTTCAGTAAGACGAGTGAAACGTGCGTCAAGAGCCGGCAACTCTCGCAAAGTGAAGGTTATGCAAGAACGTCGTAATAATCGCTTGGACAGTAGCAACACATCGGAAAATTGGAATCATCATAAACACAAAGTAACAGAGAGCTGATAAAGAAATGGTTCGAGTGATTACATTTCAGGCAAATAAATTAAGGAAGCAAAAAATGAACCTTGCATTCCCAATCGCAAATTATAGTGTTGTGTGTATGAGAATCATTTAAAAAGCAAAATTGCAGTTTACTATTTCAAACCGTTTAATGAGAATTTATCTTTGGTAGAAGCAGGAAACTTTTTGTTAACATTATAAGAAAAGGATGCTTAACTTTCGAGAATACATAGCGATGATGATTTCTTTGAAAATGTCAGTTCCACGGAAATATGATAAAGAAAAAAGCATGCCGACAGACAGAGAGCTAATAGATAAACTCTGGGGGATGTTTCATGAAAAATTAGATATACAGGCGTGTTATCAGTAGCCATAGAATGATTATATAAAAAATTAAAAATAATCTTTTTTAGTATTCATCCGTGCCATCTTCAGCCGGAGACAGAATTTGTCAAGTGTGCTTATGAGTACCTTCCGTACATTATTTGCCAAAAGAATTGCCATCATTTTGCTTATGATACTAAACTTTTCCTTTTCTTCGGAAATTTTTGCTTATTATTGCTGCTAAATCATATATTTTTCAATTATTGTTTGTGAATTATTTCGCTGTAAAAAATTAGTATAAAATTTAGAATTCTTAAGATATATTTGCATGGCAATATCAGAATCAGCAAAAAAGAAATCTTAAGTTTTCCATTAACGAATGATTGATTCATTCTAGATCCTTTTTATATTAAACAATTCGCAAATAAATAATGAATCATCCGTGATTAGTTAAAATTATTTTATACGATGAATTAATTGAAATATGCAAAACATCCGTTACGAAAAGTCAGTGTTTCTCGTAATATTATCGATCAGTAAAACATATTTAAACATAAATTAATTACACGAAATATGTCATTAAAAGAATGCTAGTAAACAGCCTCTAAACAGACCTGTATAATTTCAACGTTATTTCAATCAACGTTGAGGTAATCTAATCCAATGATATCTGATTTAGCCTCAACTGTAATACAAAACTGTTGCAATAGAAACACACAAAAATTTTAATCTTAAAGGAGTCATTAGCAGTAGTGGACGGAAGGGCATTCATATGTATTAAAACCATATGAAATTCGTCAAGTAATTTATCTAATACCTGCTGACGGGATTTACTAAACGCATGAGCCATGTCTAATACTTTTAAAGAAATATTTCAAATTTTATCTTCTACCATAAATTCTTAAATAAAAAAGAGACATTTTTTAGTGGGCTTTCTTCCAGTAATTTCGAAATAAATTTGCTAAGAATGTTTCACTTCCTTGGCACTTAGTGACTTTCCAGTATTTATTAGCATTTTTTATTTTACTTAAAGAAACAAAGATATCGAGTTTTTCTAGGAAATTTGCAAAATTGTGAGTTATTTCCATTTGGGGAGATAAACTAAATACAGTCACTTTCCTTTATCACTTCAAATATTGATAATTGGTGGAAACATAAGATTACGAGAGAGAGAAAGAAAAAAAAAGAAATGAGAAAATATAATATAAGCAGAAGTTTCTCTGCAGGTTGAGAATCTCGCTAGTTATAAGCCAACGGTTACTTACTGTTTAGTTGTCTGCTCCAAAAGAACTGGTCATTTAGTCACTCTTTCCTTTAGGCCTTCCTCAGCTGTATATAGCAGTAGTCGGCTAACTACCGGAAAGTATAACTATGTTTTCCCCATCCAAACTTCCTAAGGAACCTACGCAGGGGAAGGTCATAGAAACTTCTAAATGACGACAGTCGTGAGAGTCAAACAAGGTAGGTTGGTGAGCATAATGCGTTTCTGTTGGTGCATTTCAGTGAATTCTTCTTGTGTGTGTGTGTGTGTGTGTCTGTGTGTGTGTGTATGTGTGTATGTATGTATGTATGTATGTATGTGTGGGAGGAATAGGGCTGCTCTCGTAATCGTTGATGACTGCTCAACTGCTATTTCCGATGGCAGATGACTAGTAGTGATAGTAGTGAGTAAAGAACTGCAACTAACTGATAAGCATGCGGGACAGACAACAGATGGAAAAGGAGGACTAATATGTTGTTGCTTCTCTGTAGGTGCTGTAGAAGGAGTCTTAGCCTACTCCTTTTAGTAGGTCCTTGAGGTGGTTGTAAGCACAGACTGGTGTTTCGAATAGCTTGGTCCCTAGGATAGCAATACCCTCACTTACCCTTCTACAATCCTCACTCCTTTTCACCTCTCTTTAACGGAGTGTCTTCACTACGACAACATTCACTTAACGAAATAGCGTCAAATCGTGTCAAAAAAAGCAGCGGCTATAAGGAGTCATCGACAGTGAATTAGAATTAGAGAAATATGACAGGGTAAGTGCCCCTAAGGGTCATCCTTCTCATTCTACTCTTCTTCCTCATCAATTATATCATCATCAATTACAACAACAACAATAACAACAACAACAAACACTACTGTTGTTATCAAGAGGACGGTTGCCGTCATCACTATCAGCGGTCGTTTCAGCTTCAGCTATCTCAATTTTTTCAGTTGATTTACCAACCGCATATGTTTTTCGTTCTTCGCTGTTGCTGAAGAACCGAAACAAACTTTTTATTTGTTCCTCACTGATTCATTAGTGAGACAGAATTGGTGGCTGAGCCATATTGTCCGATGTCAATGATCAGTTAGTGAATCACATGAAACATTATGACTGCATAATTGATCTCTTGTCTGCCCAGTTTTATAAATACTGTTTAAATTATCCGGTAAAATCAATCCATTATTTGCATCATAAGTTCCATTGAACCCTTGATCTAGACCCTAATATTTTGACCCTTTTTCGGGTCCGTTTCTTTTTCTGCTCCTATCACTTTATTGTATCCAAATTACATAGCACTTTATAGTGCTTCTGGTAGTACAATTGAACTATAACGTATTATTGGCGCCATGGGGCATTGCGCCTCACGGGACCAAAAAGATCAGAAGAATTTGAACCGTCGAATCGATGAGCAAATCAAAAAAGATCAGTCAATGTCACTTCGGATCATTAAACTTCTTTTATTAGGTACGTCTGACATTTTTCAAAAATCTTCATCTGGGTCGTATTTTTCATCTTTTCAATGGAATTTCCGATTAAGCCTTGTTGTATGCATAACTTCGACATCACAAATTTTTGAATTCATTGTAATAAGTAAAATTGCTTCTAGATATCATTATGTTTCAAAGAAAGAAAAAATTAAAAAAACTAAACTGAATTCTCGATGAACAAACTCTCATAAGTATCTTATAGCATGACTTCATATTTAAAGGGATTCAAATTTCATATACTTTCGTTTGACTCCTTATGGATGCTTTCTCAATGTATTATATAACGCAATTTTGAAAATGATTCTCCCATCCTTTAAGATTGACAATGCTGAAATGGGATCAATTTTTAAATTTGAATATTGAAGTAAATATATATATATCCAATGAACATCACAAACGATACTCTTAGTTTCTTATTACAAACAGTCCAGTCATTTCAAAGGATTGAACCAATTACTTTTGTTGTCAAGCCGTCACTTTTAAAACATTTTATCACTTTAGTTTAGAACCGGATGACCATTTAATTCGGAAGAGATTTTTTCTGATCAATTATTAGATATCTACAGTTGCTTCAGTAAGATACGAATTTCCTTTTTATCGCCAAAATATTTTGATATGCACTGATAACTCGCTATTCTACTATCCCTCTTAAAATTTGCATTTTTTTTTAAACCAGTTCATTAAATGAATTATCACTTCATTGTACCTTTATCATAGAATCTTAACATTATTTTTTAAAACAATGAATAATCAATGCTAATAGTGAAGAACTATTTGGAAAAAGTATTAACAAAACATAGGCTTATGCAGTCTAAAATAATACGTATTATTTCGCAGTTTGTAATCAGGTCTTGAATATGAGTTATGAAATTATGTTTAACAGTATATATAAACAAAGTTAAATTATGCTAAACAATATATCTTATCACACAGCACGTCTTAGTTTTCTCTCAGCTTTTATATTGATATCATTCATCTTCCTAACAAATTTTGTTAATGAAAAAAGACATGAAAACATTTTTCTTCTTATAACTTCTATATAAGGTATCCTTGCAAACTGAAAATAATGTAGAATAAATAATTGCAGGAGCTGGCGAAAGTGGAAAAAGCACAATACTCAAGCAAATGAGGTCTGCAAAGCGTTAAATAATTAACAATATTTCATTATTTGGTGTAATTCAGGATCTATTAAATTGAATAAATCTGTTTACAACATAGGTTCTAATACGTTGAAGTCAAAATATTAGAAATTACTAATCATTTTCTCTACATCATATATATCATTCATTTATCACTGCTTTCCCTTCAAATTGGTATGCAGTTTTTAGGAAAAAAAGACGATAATTATTACTACTAAAATCTGTTTTGAAAAGTGCAGCAGAATTTCAAGAATTCAAGAAAGTGTAAAGTGTATGCACACTTTTTACTACTATATATATTATATGCTTGTAATTATTCAGGATATTACATAAAGATGGATTTTCACAGCAAGATCTAGAGATGATAAAACCAGTGGTTTATAGTAATTGCATACATTGCATGCTGGCAATTCTCAGAGCAATGTTTCATTTGCAAATTGAATATGAGGACCCCGACAGAATGGTTGGTTTCGCTAATTCAAATTTCTGAATATAATAATAGGGGAAGGTAATGGCCAGAAAGTTCACCAGGCAATCTTCATCCTCCAGGGTAAGTTTTTCCAATATTTAATTTTAAAACTGTGAAAAAAAAGGGGTGTTTAAGTCACAGAATTTGCAGAGATTTTATACAAAATTAAAAAATGCAATCATGAATGGAAGTAGATGATATTATGTCATTATTCATCATGAATATTGTGGATGTCCTTTATGGGCAGCTGTGTTTGCAGTCTCACATAATTATTTAAAATGAAATTATCTCAATAAATACCTGGTTGTTGAGAATAACCGAATGTATCATCTATGATTATGCCAGAAGGAACCCACATAATGCGATCCATAAGTCAAATGGCGGTATTACGAACTATCCAATTTTTACTAGTCAAAATGTGTTAGGATCTTCTAAGTTTCCTAGGTACACCTGAAACATATGTGTTTTGACAGTTAGGCAATAATTGCTCTGAATACTATAGTGAGATGACTGAGTCAAGATTATATATGCATATCCATTTAAAATTACAATTAATTCAATGAAATCAAAGTAGAACTTAAAAAAAGGTTATTGTGTCTAAGGAAAAACTGAGTCAACTGGACGAAAGTCACTGTGGTAAGATGCCAAACCAAATGACAATATGTGCAGTCAATTAATAAGCATAGTTTGCTTCTTCTAATCGCATAATCTTCTTTATATTTACAAAGAATTATTAAAATATCTAGAATTCCGGAATCACTGGCTTTCTTAATATTGCAGCGCGACAGTCAACTTGTATTTGCCACTGTTCATACCAAAAAAGAAGAACTTGTTGAAGAGTTATCAGCAGCAATGCAGCGACTTTGGGCTGATGGCGGTGTCAGGGAGTGCTATAAACGATCCAATGAGTATCAAATCGATGATTCTGCCAAATAGTTCATTCTTTCTATGAAAATAAATTTGCTTCCTAACATCATTCTTTTAAGATCAGTTTTTGTTGAAATTAGGACTCTTGTTCACTCGTGTGATTTTCACTGGTAGATTTCGAAAAGCTAAAGTAGAATGAAAGTGAGCATAGCAATTACTAGAAGTATGAATTTATCTTGAAACAATAAAATGTTGCAGTTTCTTAGACAGTTTGCCGAGGTTAAGCTCCCCTAATTATTTACCAACAGAGCAAGACTTACTACGGACGAGAATTAAAACAACGGGAATAACCGAAGTACATTTCGAACTCAAAGGACTTACATTCAGGTAATATTTGATTCAGAAAATACTAAGTTCCCGCACCAAAATCGTCATCGGAAGTTTGAGCAGCGAATGAATGGAACAAAGATAATTTGGTCGCAAGCGTTGTTATAAAAATCATGTTTAAGAATTCAGATGAAGACATGAGTGCAATAATATCTGATGTTCATTTGTACCTATGAATTATCTATCATTCAGGCCAAGTGCAACAGTATTATGAAGTAAACCAAATAACTGTCGGCAGATATTTGAGGAAGTGTTTAGTAAATGAAAAAGAACGTGGACAAAATAAAAAAATAATAATAAATAAAGGAAATAAATAAATAACAATGAGAAACGTGGCTATAGCGGATGAGGATGTATTTCCAGATGATGATTATGGCACGATCCCTGAATGGTCTCTGAATAGAGTTAATAAAAGCTGGACAAGTCCTCAGCAAGAAGCATCTGCACTCTGTACTCAGCAATTTACTGCTATTTATTTGAAGTGCACGGATGAGTGCGCTTCAACTGTTGTAATGCGCGTCACTACTACACTAGATTTCCATTGATGCATAAATGTGCGCCACTCATTATTAGTATTCCTTTTTCCTACTGTTTATTTTGCAAGAACCGTTTACATCGTAAACAATATTTGCAGTTCACGTTCCAGTATTAGACCATAAATACAAATAATGATTTAAAGAAATGAAAAGACACTTCGTTGTGCAACAAATGATAACAAATTAAGTTGAAAATTCCAGAAATTTCAAGCAAATCAATAGAATACCGCTATGTATCCCTTAGAAAAACAAAAAAATTGAACGGTTTGACCTGCACGAGCATAAACAACCAATAAATAGGTCAAATAGATTAACAGCAAAACTAATGTGCAGTAGTTTACCACCAAACGACCTCATTTCTAGCGAGAGGAGATCGTCACCAACTGAAGAAATAGAGAAATGATAGATTGAAGAGGAAAGAACAAATGAAACGACTGAAGAGAGTGTTTGACCAATGTGCCTTATTTATCACAACTAAAAAAGGATTTTGTCTTTGATTTTTATCTTCTGAACTACTGGATCTTTTTAAACTATCTTTTCATTCTTCTGTAATTATGTACTTTATGTTGTTAGCTTCGTTTTCTAATTTCGTGCGAAGTCCCTTTAAAAATGATAATATTCAGCTAGTATTCACTTAATGGTAGATAATCACAATTATATTTTTGAAAAAAATGTGGTTATAAATGTCATCTCTCATTTAGTCCCATTGTTTATCTGAAGTAAAATCTTCAAAATTAATGCACAAAAAATATTGATTGCGGGAAATTTCTGACTGTTAATTTCAGGGTGATCGATGTTGGCGGACAACGTTCTGAAAGAAAAAAATGGATACATTGTTTTGATAACGTAAATGCGATTATATTTATATCATCATTATCAGAATATGACCAAACATTACGGGAAGATAATTGCACGGTATCAAAATTTTTGTTTCAGTTAGGCAGTAAAACGTTTTCATAATAGATGACAATTAGTAAAATAATCATTTTATATGATGACATGGAAATATCTAATTTTGCTTTATTTCAAGTTTAAGTGATGAAAAATTGAATTTGAAAGTCTAGAAAGTTAGAAAATTTCCACACAAGTTGAAATGAGATAAACTTGCAATAAGATAAACAGTGGAAGATATCAAGTATGACGAAGTGTTACGGAAAACAATTATCCATATTTATATTCATACGGTAATAATAACTATTATTACAGAATCGAATGCAGGAAAGTTTGAAGCTTTTTGATTCAATATGTAATAGCCCATGGTTCTCCGATATTCATTTCATCTTATTTCTAAATAAAAAAGACCTTTTTGCTGAAAAAATAACCCGCTCACCTTTAACGACATGCTTTCCGGAATACAAAGGTTCGCTATGGTGTTGTTTACGATAATATCTTCCGTTACAATTTTCTGGCTCAAAAACTATTTGATGTATTTCAGGACATCAGAACCAAACGGAATGTATCAATTATATACAATGGAAATTTGAACAACTTAATAGGTTTCAAATTTTTACTGGCTTATATCAGATCTATGAGTATGTCATGAAAATTCATAAATGCTCAGGAACGAATGATGTTGAACTTTGTTATGTCCCGAACATTTCTTAAAACTGTTGGAAAACTACGCTTCAATTACAAATATTAAATGAGTAGAACATTAATGCTGTTTAAGAAAAGTCATCAGTGTTAATATGATATATGCCTTGCACAGTTAGAAAAATCAGATTAGCTTACACAGAAGATTTCAGATCTCCTCAGCGAGAAATATATTGTCATCACACATGCGCCACAGATACAAACAACGTGCAGTTTGTTTTGGATGCTTGCCTGGATATGATTATTGCTAGAAACTTGAAATCAATGGGACTTTGCTGAGGAATATCTTTTTGGTTATTTCTATATTGAAATCTTACATTTTAATTCATTATCATGTCATTGTTTAGTGCTTCACTGGAACGCTAAAGCAGGGAGGAAATTTTTTGCAAGTCAAATTGTTTATTTCGAAGAGTAGCAGAGCTTTATTCCGTGTATCGCTTACAGTTATGAAATAGAAAATTATTTTAGCCAATATGTAAGAGGATATAGGATATCTTAATTGCCATGTGATACAGGTAGATTCGCATGATGGATATATATAATGCTACTACTCTTTATTTTAAAGGGTTTCTATAAATTTGTTCGGTAACTTATCTGAGATGAAGTGAATATTCTGAATTCTGTTATCTACTTTGCTGTTATTATTGCTTATTTCAAATTGGCAGTTTATGAAATTTTTTAGATAAGTTTGTTGAACTCAAAGGAGCTTGAAGACGTAAGACTTAAATTTTTTTGGTATAACATCTGATTATAACCAGTCCGAATACAAAACGACTGATTATAGTCTTATCAGCAAACTACCAGGTCTGTTTGAAATCACTGAGGTTGAGTCTAATGTTATATTTTTTTAATATTACGATAATTTCTATTCATCTTCATTTTTATAATGTTGTGATCATGAACAGAAAATTATTCTATTATAAATGCTTCTCACTTTTTATCATCACTTGCACTTATTTTCTTCTTTTTTTCTGTCATTTTACCGTCCAATAAACATGCGATCTCACCATTGATTATTTCATAATATGCGACTGTCATGCTAATTTTCCTTTTTTTTTGTCACTGTCGTCGTGACATAACTGTATCTTAAGAACCGTTTATATCACTGTCTTCAAAATGTTCATAGATAAAATGCCAAATGATGCTTAGTGGTTTGTGTAACTACCTGTTCAAACCGTCAAATTACCATGCGATCAGTCGGCACCCTTTCAAATGTAAACTTGGTTGATGAAAGTTGCTATTTACAAAAATGAAGCAGCAAATTAACTATACCCACTATAATTAAATGTATTCATCAAATTACTGTTTCGGATAAGTTACCTACTAAACTGTTTTCATCATAGATTTGGTTGTTTCAATGCAATCTAAATACTTATACTGAGTTATTTTAACGAATCCATATGCAACTATTTAGTCATTTATAACTTATTTTCTTCATTGAACTCTACCAAGTGCTTCTAAAATACACACCACGTATCACAAATCACTAATCAAGCATTTGTTCAAAGATTAACGAGTATTAGAAATATACTACTCCAAACATTGTTGCTATGAACTAGTCCTGCGTAAGTCGATATAAATGATGTGTTATGAAAGATTCAGCTGTTAAGCGTTTAACTGATTCGTTACTTCTATTGAAGTGTATTGTTTTACAATTCCAAAATATTAAGTATTACTATTCTTACTGTAATTTTCACGCTAATTTTTATATTGACCACTGTTGTGCTTTTATATTTGTTGATATTGCTGAATAAAAAATTTCTACAGTTTATTGGTTTGCAATTCTAAAATATGGTCAGAATGAGTTTTAGTTTCCTTTCTAAAACTCGTTGATTCGAATCCGATACACCCAGTTGATTCATCGTTGAAGTGAAACTCATTCTGGTGATTTGTTCTAGAATTCTCCATTTATTGTCTCTTCATATCGTTTCCATGCTTCATTTAAACTCTAATAATCACAGTGTTTCTCCTTTTTTTTTTTTTTTCAGCTACTTCCGTTTGTTTTATTCATGCAAAAAGTTGTAAAACTTCACAAATTAAACAGAGGAGAATGATTACCAATGTTGCAATAAATCTTTTATTTTTTCTATTTGTCAAAATCACTTTCCACATAATTTAATTTGAAGGAGTTTTTTTTTTTCTAAAACTGATTCATAGGACAGTTTTTCTTGAAGTGGTTGAATAAGTTTGAGACAAGTGGGCGTTACACTGAGAAGGAACTTGATTGGTACACTAATGGCAGCTCATTTAAGTGAACACTACAGCAGTACTTTTAGCAAATATATATGGCTTTAGCTAAATGTGTTGGTTCTATCTTACCGATTCCCTTAGGGCCTATGAAACGCACTATGATGAGAAAGAGCCAAAGAAGGAGTTGTTGGCACTAGGCATTATACATAGGCACAGATATAGTCGTCGTCGTCATCATCATCATCAGTTGGTTTGGCACAATGCGGGACAGCACTGCCCACTAAATGACCATTTGCAATTGAACTCGACATGCTACTTGCATTCAAGCCTATTTTGTCAATATGCTCCCTATTCGGTTTAGATCATTCGGTCTTTTTCTGTCACGCTCTGTCCCATTGCGTTTGTCATCAAAAGATTTCCTAGTATTCCTATCCATTCCTTACTTCCTCATTTAATCATGCTGCATGCCTTAAGATACCCTTCCGTTTTCCACAGCATATATATATAATTAATCAATTAATATTTCTGCTTAAATTGTTTATATATATATATATATATATATATGATGGAAAAAATACTTAAATTACATAAACTTGGCGTAAGCGTTCATTTGTATTATTACTTAAACCAGAAAATTACTTCATAGTATTTATTTATTTTTTTTTTTTGCTTTTAATTTACTTCTATTTTTATAATTACTAGATTTTTTTTATTCCAGAAAATTTAGTGAAAAAATCATTCTATCTGCTTGCTGAAAATGCATTGCTGTTGTTTCGTCCGTATAGCATTTTTTCACCTTAACAGTTTGGAATATCTTACATGACTTAATTATTATTTATACCAGAATCAATATTTAGTAAGTTACTGCTGATCAAAAAACAACATTTAGTACTCTTTCTGGTATTATTTTTACTTATTTTTGGACAAACAAGTGATAAAATAGTGGTAAAATCTGATCATTAAAACCGCATCGATTATTGAGAAGTGAAATTCTGACTTTGATTCAGCAACTTACAGCATGTATAAAAGAATAAGCAGAGAGTAGAATGTTAAAGGTGGGACACCTTAATCCACTACTAAATTGATTTTTTTTTATTCTTGTTAACTCACACTAAATGCTGAGCAAACAAAAAGAAATCCTTTCATCCGCAAAAAAACTGCTAATATAAATATTTTTTATTCGAAATGATTTAGACACATTTCGTTGTTGAGATTTCCTTTTTTTGTTAAAATTCTGTTATGCACACTGTGGAATGCTACCAAAGTATCAGCCTTATAACTTAATTGCGATTGTTCTGACACTGCTGTAGTGACTCAGAGTTGTGGTATTTATGTTGCGGTGACCGACTGAAATAAAGTCCGTCCCGTTATTATCAATATCATCATTAACAATAATGAATTCCAGCATTGATAAGAGTTTTGAATTTTCTTTTAAGTAAGTAATATATATAAATCCTTCAAACGAAAATTTACTTCTACCACACTTCTAAGGAAACTACTTTTAGGGAATAACTAAGAGCATTTTTGCAATTCTTCAACAGCCTAGTAATACAATACCGATGTATATGCTTTTCCAATACCAATATGAACCACAATTTGTCTCCAAGCGACGCTTTAAATACGAGCTATTAAGTGGCAAATCCTTAATACACTTAACGATGTTTGCCCCAGAAGCTGCTCATCTTATTTAACTGTGGCAAAATTTATGGCTAATGATTACTTCAATCTTTAACTCTCAGTGTAATAGAGACTTATTGCCATTGTGACCAACAATCCGGAACACTTCGGCTGATGAAGATTCTTTAAATCTAAAAAAAAAATATAAGCTGAAGGCAAGGAGTGTGTATACAAAAGCCGATCGATATATATATATATATATATTGTTCAGGCTTATACGAACAAGAAAATGTCCCAAAATGTTCTTTTTATTTTTGTTTTCTGCTATATGTTTTTCGTAATGTTGTTTGGGCATACAGTAATCGCTTTCCATTTTCATCTGATTATAAATCAGAGGTAGGAAGAATTTTCCCTTCCACCGATATTACGGCTCAGTTTTCACCGATCCTTTCTAAAGAAAATGAAAAGCATCATTGCTGAAGTTAGTCTTTTTCCTGATATCAATTGATGTCTTAAGAAATATGCCTTTTGATAAAAGTTTTCCAACAAAAATATGATATAACACTTTTGGAACTCAACCATAGTAGGAGGATATCCTGGATCCCTTTTTTATGTTAGTGTAAGGACAAGGATCTGAAAGATAACACTTTTTTAACTGTTGCATAATCTTTCAAAATTCCATGTATGCATCCTTTGTAATCTTAGCCATCTCAATGGAAGCAATAAGGTGTGGAAGCGGAGTAATGCACTTTTCAATTCAGGACAATAATTTGGTTTTAGGAAATGTTTCTTTTTGCTTCTGGAAAGTCTTCTAAAGAATCAATTCATGCTGGTATCTTTCTGTCTCACTAATTTCTGGGGATTTTTTAGTGAGTTTATTGCATTTTTGTCTTTTCTTCCTTCATTTTCAACTTATTCCCCTTGATTCTAATTTGTTCTTTATTATCAGAAGCATTTTCTTGGAAAAAGAAATTGGTTTGTCGACTTTTTCGGAATGAAAACTGCTCAAGTATTAGGCCAAAGGTCAGCGAAAAGAACTACACAATTTTATTTTCAAGAAAATGCTTATCATCTATTGATGAAAGCGGAGAAATGATGACTCGATAGTGCGACATCCTCCATATTCTCCTAAGTTTTGCATGCTTTTCTGGCAAAACACAAAGAGACAAAAAGCTTAGGCTGCATTGAGCTAAATTTGTCTTCTAATTCTCATTCTAATTCATCAGCTCATCTTTGTTCTTTTTCTTCTCTTTATAGGAAGGAATAGTTTCAAAATCTTGAATGTTGAAGCTTCTTTTATTCTTTGTTTTGTCGTTCCTTAATGAGTGAAGTGACACAATTACATAGTGTCACTTTTCTCACAAACATTCAGTGCTTCCTTTTTCTGTAAATGGTAGCTTCACTTAATGATTCTCTGGATGGATGAAGATCTGAGGTAATTGGGTGTCATCGCTAAATTATCAATTTTAAATCCTATGAAATATGGAGATACGATAAAAGCACTCATCTAGGCCTTCTAGTGGTTGCTCACAACTTTGGATTGAGAGTTGCCAACTGATTACTTTTTCTTTCTCTCCATGTTGGAGCTTTGATATTGCTTTCCGTTTTTATTTTTGTTTTTTATCATCAAAGAATGACAAAGATGCTATAAGTTGGATTAAAGTTGTGGCATCAGTTTTGCTATTGTATTAAAATGCTCGTAAAAGTAAATGATTTCGTGAAGTCATTTAACGAAATTGATAAGTGCAACAGTTAATGCAAAACGTTTTTCGTCTCCCTTTATTTTATGCGTTTCTGATGCCTTTGTTCTTTGGATATACCATGTTTTTTATATTGTTCGCCAACTAACATTTGTGAAATCACTGATGGCAAAAGAAAAATAGTGAAATTTTATCCGCGAGTGGAATAAAACACCGTGGATGCAACCGCGCTATACCAGATGGCAGACAATGAATTAAAATTTCTCAAAATATAAACAATCTTCATCGAGAGTGACTTTGACCCAATTAAAACAATAGCCATTACAGCAACGTCAGTTATGAGTCAGTTCAGCCGATAAAGATCGTGGTTAGAAAAAAGTAGAAGTGATAAGAACGTGCATGTATATTGTGTGTTTCACTTGTATCTGTTATATCATCAGAAAGAATGAATTCAACAATTTCAGGAACAATATTTAGCTCAACTACGCATGCATATTAAATGATCACAACAAATGTAACTGTTCCATATGCAAAAACAGCACTTCGGTTCTAATTTTTGGTTCTTTTCAACAGTTTCTACTACTGCTACAATGTAACTATCCACGGATGTCATCCTCGCAACAACATACTGCCTTGGATCGCAAAGATTACCTCAATTGTACTGGTATTATCTGTTTTTTCGACTAATTAATATGGGCATCAAGTGATTTGGAAAAATTTTTATAAAAATTTACTGAATCATTGACAAACGGCTAACGTTTTAGAATTCTGCTGAATAGTTGTACTTCACGGAAGGTTTATACATAAAGGATAAGGAAATCATAAAATTCCGAGATTTTGATAACTACCTTTTTTCCGAGTTACAAGATCCGGGATAGATAATAATAGCTACTGAGCATCGTACATTTACACTTTCGTTTGCTTTGTATTTCAGCACGAACTTGTACTACGAGCCACAACACACAACACCAATCTACACAAGCTGTTCATACCTTGCCGGGCGTAGACAGCCCAAGTGTTGTTCACGGTGGTAGAGCCTCGTTGGGGTCAATCATACGGGGCACCAAGGGACACCTATCCAGTATATTTGGTAGTGTCACACAGGTTAGTCATCTTCATTTATTCCAACTTCTGAACATTCATCCAAGCATTATCTTGAGATCCTTCTTTCAAGCATCGTGTTCTCACAGCAATAATTGAGTTATTAAATAATGTATAACTCTGTGAAATGTTCAGAAGCTATCAATTCGATGCAGAATGCAAGCATAAATGCTGTGATGTTCCCAACTGTGTAATCTTCCAAGCATTCTTCATCTGATCCGGTCACTCTATTATACCAAACCTACAACTTCCACCAATCCGATCATAAAGCAATTATTTTCTGCACGGGGGGTGCATTATTAACACCTCACGGCATTGCCTTTTATTTATTGGTCGACAGTACGTCAACACCTACGTCAACACCACAAGTGAACGTACCTAGTACAGGGAATACGCAGTATTTAGAGATAATGCGTAATGGTAGGTGGGGAAAGGGTCGTCGTGCGGGCTACCACTCGTACAGCCAACATTTTTCAACTAAACATTGATTTGCGACACATAAATCGTAGGACAGGAACAGACAGGTGGAAACAGGCAGAGAGAGGAAGGGAGAGATAAGATAGTTGATATACGCATGCAAAGTGTCGATCGATATCACGAATGGTTTACTTGGGGGGTTCATCTGTGGTAGTGGGTTTGTTGGTGATATGATATGGTATATCATATCATGTTGTAATATGTAATATGGTGTGGTTGATATGGTGATGAGATGGAAGTGGAACATGCGTGGAATAGAGCGGGAAATGTGGACCAGTGAAGGACCGCTTGAACTGTTACTCTGTATATTGTGCGTGTAAGCCGCCAGAAGATATTTTAGTGTAAACTTAGAAGTATGATCTAGTGGACATTTTCTTTCGAAGAGTCTATTAAAGAGGACAGAAGGGAAGGAAGGGAGAGGGAAAGGAGGGAGAAAATGAGGAGTAAAGAGTTAGAGACAGGACGGATAAAAGGAAATAGTGGACAGACGTGATTGGTGTCTGTCTTGGCGACGATGGCAGAAAGAACAGTGGTAGTACGCTTTAGAGCAAGTCTTAACTGGTACCGATGTTTGTGGGTCCTGACTGGAATTGATCATTCTTCCTTTATGTTTTTATATCAAAATTTTCCCGGATTTTACCTGACACTTCTTTATCCCTAAAAATCGACTTCCTACACATCAGATATTTGCAGTTGAAATTTATGGCTTTTCACTAAATGGTCTCTGCAAGAATTTAGTGTTCTAGAGAACCAACATTAGTCCTGATTGTGACGACGCTTGCTATAGTGGCTAATAGCCAACATCGACATCCACAGAATCAAATAGAGTATGTGATGTACACTATAGAACTATCTCGAAATATATGCAGTTTGTTCGTAGTTCTTGACAGGTACACCTCAGGATCACATGCTTACTTGGCTTCAGAATGTTTATCATTGAGATTGAGTAATATAGATGGTTCTTGACTCATTCATGTTTACTGTTCATCAGAATTGTCTATAACGTCGTCCCATTGTGACCATAGCTGCTATGAAATGTAGACATTGGCCTAACGTCTTCTTTCATTGGAGACTGCTATCTAGATTATGGAAGTGTTCTTCCAGATTCCAGGTGACCTTCTCGTGCTTTAACTTCCTGAACCTTACTAACCATTACTATGTAATGGAAAGCCAAATTGATTTTAATGAATAGTCACAGCTGGTACATGCAGGTATTTACTGCCGGGATTTGATTTTTGCATTATCTTGCTTATTACCCTGATCATAAGTCATTGCATACACGAGCTGTTCCATTGAGACGTACAATGTAGGAAAAAAGTGATTTTGATACTACTTCAGTTTAGCTTATATATATTCCTGATCCTTGCACACTAGCAGTTTATACATTGTGAAGTTGTGGTAAATGGAATATGCATTATCTGCTTGAATGTGAATTTTTTCCATTTAGAAATATTTAACAATACTTCCTGTCGTTTTAATTTGTTTAGAATTGGACAAGTGATAAAATAAATACAAATACTTGTTCGTCACTATCTTTGGATATCTGTAATAAATACTTGTTCGTCACTATCTTTGAATATCTGAAAATAATAAAAATTTTTAAAAGTAGGTATTTGCTGACGTGTACGAACTCTGTGAGCTATCTTAAATGGGATCTTCTGGATAAGCATTCATTCACTTAAACAGCTAACTATTTAGACACTTTCCGTCTTTTGTGCAGCAGTGCATTAGTTCATTATTTTGAATTGGTTTGGTGGTATGATTGCAGAAATGCTGAGGGACATTAATATGTTCTCGAATCACAGTAATGTCAATTCTATTCTGAATCGAAAGTCCCCAAAATTGATAAAAAAAAGCAGCAGTTCTGGAGTTTAATGGTCGGACGTGTTCGCTATACCAGCGTATTCATGGGATGATCAAGCAGTTCCGATAGCTATAAAAAAATTTCTTGGAACAGCCTTACATCTCACACCTAAAAAGAAGAATACGAAAGTATTGGTCATTAAATGTCCGTAATAGTAACCTCAATTTCTAATTGTTGCGTATTATTTTTTAATTGCAAACAGATTTATACTTGCATTATTCCGAAACAGTTAGTTGTACTGCTATTAATCTTAAAATGAAGAAAAAAGAAAAGTCTAATATGCCAATTTTTGGGTGCTCAAGAAATTGAGATATCGGAATTCGTTAAACATTTTCATCGCTAATCTGTTGATAGTGAAATATCCTGTAGAACGAGGTTACTTCATCTCAAACTATCGTTCTTTGAATTTGCTACGTTTAGAAATCAGTAGCAAAAGTTTATTCACAATGATTAATGCTTTAGCAAACCTTATTTTAATCCAGAATTGCAATCGCTGTTTGATTCGGTTTTCCCAAACTGTTTTTCTTTGTTTAAGGAAAAAAGTTTTTCTTTTCCCCTTCTTATTTGCTTTTCTATGTTCTTTTGGTGAGTGATTCCAGATTTGCTGGTTTGGTTTTCCAGGATGGTCAAGACGAAATATCAGATGGATATCAATCATATTTTTGACGAAATGGTGTACTGTCCATCTGTTTTGTTTGCCGATATTTCATTGTAAAGTGAATTTACAATGAATGTGGACAGACAGCTCCTTTGTCTTATTCCATATTACTTGAAAAGTGCCTCTAAGTGCACCCGAGGAAGACGGTGAGTTGAGAAAGTGCTGAATGAGAGCAGTATGCCCCTCCTCCCCGCTTCTCAGTGTAGCGATACCGGTCGGTTGGTTGGTTGGTTGGTCGATCGGTCGGTCGGTCGGTCGGTCAGTCGGTCGCTCCCCTGCGGCTCTTTCTCTCGTTGCTGTACTGCTACAGTCCTACTGACTGGATTTTGTTGCTTGGTGGTAGTGAGTAGGTGTGTTTATGCTACAATGGAGGAATTCCCGGGGCATTCAGCATTTGCAGTTTCATTTCTTAGGTTGCTAGTGAAAATACGTTGGTATAAGTTAAATCGTAATGAGAGAGCACTAGTCGTATCCACGTTAGTAGGCAGTCACTATCATTCTCCTCCTGCAGATTCTGTCGGGTTCCAACTACCGTGAAATAATAACCTGGTGATATAACCATGGTTTGGTTAATCCGTATAATGCATCCGGAAAAAGTGGGTTGAACTGTGGCGCAAATGCAACAAATATAGCGCATACATTTTTGGTTTTCATCAAATCCAAAAGCAAAATTACTTTTCTCTCTTTCTCTTTTTTGAATCCACCATAACATTATATTAGTAAATGGACATGAGACACATTATCTATCGAATTCGCCATAAGATGAATTTTGTCTCCATGTCTTCCAAATCTCCCGATATTGATTTATTAATATAATCTTCATTTCATTCATTTGGGTATGTTAGTCTTTCGAAGGTGCCATTTGTTAAACAGTTCTTTTTATCACATTCTTAATTTAGGTTGCTAATAATTCGGCTATTCAGAGATTATTCTGAAACACTGGGAAATACTTTTTAGTTTAAGAAAGTTTTTTCGATATTCTTAAGCGAAAAGCGTTGGGAAATTCTTTCGCAAAAAGGAAGTGCAGATGGCGGCATGGAAAAATGACATAAGGAAATGCATCCGATTTTCGTAAATGACTGAAAATCTGAAATTTTGATTTTAGTATAGATGGTAAGGTAAAGATGGTTGACATTGTTTATTAGCCCCAGGAACTCAGCAGTCTCTACAGCTTATCTAGTGATATTGGTAGTAAATTTCTCCAGCCGTTTTACTCTTTTGTTCTTTTAAGGTCTCTGTGCATAATATGATCGCACTTCTTGAATGTCCGTTATTATTCTTCTGAGATGTGGAATGCTATAATTGATGTGTACATGATTTTTTGTTTGCAGTGGCTGGGAAGTTCAAATTCAGGAGGTCGTGACGACTACGAGACAGAAGCGATTTTGCTCGACAGCTGCGCAAGCGTTTTGCAGCCGTCTTATCTTGAAAGGTTGGCTATTTTTAAAATTACCTATTGTTAGTGTGAAAATTTTCAGTGATTAGGTTTTTTTTTTTTTTTTGTTTTTAATATAAATATGACTGAAAGTCAAGTGAGATGCAGAATATCAACTCCAATCACAATGCATAATTTGCAGTGCCATAAATTCTTTATATTAATACTGCTTTCTCTGTCTCTTTCTCATCTTCCCCTGCCTTCGCAAAATCTGCTTGGCCACGACCAGAAACGACTATCATTGTTGCTACTTCTGGAAATTCTTTTCAAGACTGACTAGAAACGAATTTGTCTCTCATAGGTATTTTATCTCATAAGCCAGACCAAATATTGATATCCATTTTTTTCGAGTTGAGAATAACAAAAACGAAGATTTGCTAAGTTATTTATATACTGTCCGTAGCACTTGCTTTGTTTTTTGGTAAGCAAAATGAGTTTGCAAGTACATTGTGGGACCATTACTTGAGGACAAACAGCCTTTTAGACTATAAAGAAAATTGGACCACATGGAATTGCGGTTAGTTTTCACGATAATTCCCATTTGTTTTACTGCTGCCGGTTGCTCAGTCTCCATGTAACCTTCCGTTACGAATCGCTTTTGTGTGTCGGGACTTCTGAAACAGGAAATTCTACTTCCACTGCGAATCCTTTGAGGAATGATTTTTTTCTGTCTTTTGGTTTTATTTTTACTCTGCTGCTTGTTCTGACTTCCTTTTGGCAATTGCATTTGAAACAGTAAATCCCCTTTGTGACTTGAAAAGGAATGCAATTTTGAGTAGAATGAAAATGAAGGAAGATAAGAAACATCTCATAACGTAGTTGTGATTCAATTTTTTTTTTTTAAAAAGAAGGACAGTGGAGATACGTGACTTTCTCGATTCCTAATAAAATTTGAACTGTACTGAATTACAGCGTTTATCAAGCTTCCATGGCTTCCACTTCCACTGCATCCGAATTTTACAACGTTGACATTAATGACACCCGTTTGTGTGTTTTGAAGCGCTATCAGAATTTAAGGATTATCGGATCTGGTGCACAAGGCGTAGTATGGTAAGTGAGCAAATTTGAAATCGTATAAGATTAAAAATCATAATCAGTTGATAATTAGGGCGTAGCATTTTATTAGATATGACTATTTGAGATTTAGGAGTTTAGTTGTTTGTATCAGAAAATCATTTGTTGGGAAGTCAATTATATATACGAAGTAGTTTCAGGTAAATTCTAGAGAGAATTAACAATACATTTCCTTCTCGTAATCGTTTTACAGTACCTTCCCCAAGACCTTAAATACTTAGATACATGAATGCTAGATAAATAATTAGATAATCAGATACACAAACATAAAATACTTAAATAGTGATTATGGAAGTTATGGAAATTATAGAAAGTTATGGAGGATTTATGGAAAGATGATTATAGAAATGAAGTTAACGAAGGCACGAAAATTCTCATTTGTTTTTAAATTATCTAATTTTGCTTACTGGAAATTTCTTGCTTTTTTCTTTCGGATTCTAAATTAGAGAAAAGAAACGGATAATGTTTTGTTTATTATCAAAAGTTATTTTTGATCTTTTTTTCTCCGAAATTTCTCTGATTTCAATAAATAAAAAATTATAGTGCTGCACATGATACTCTTCGTGATGAGCAAGTCGCTATTAAGAAGCTAAGTCGTCCGTTCCAAAATGTGACGCATGCTAAACGTGCTTACAGAGAGTTTAAATTGATGAATCTTGTTAACCATAAAAATGTTAGTTCGTCTTTAATTAGTTCACTTTTTTCCTCACACGGTTCCTGGATTAAGTGCAAGAGTTCATATGTTTTTTTATTAACATTAAGTTTCTGAGCAGGTCTTATTGTTAATCGAATTCATCTTATCTCGTTTTTTAAAAATGCGCTAGGTTACTAATGACCATATTTTTTTGAAATCGTTTGTAAACTTTCCACTTTCATTTGTCTTTTTTCTCAAAAAATTAAGTTTTTCCTTTTCACAGATAATTGGATTGTTGAATGCGTTTACACCTCAGAAAACACTTGATGAATTTTCCGATTTGTACATAGTAATGGAACTTATGGATGCTAATTTATGTCAAGTAATACAAATGGATTTGGATCATGAAAGGATGTCCTATTTGTTATATCAAATGTTATGTGGTATCAGACACTTGCATGCTGCGGGTATCATACATCGGGTTATTTTTCTTCACATTAACCTTTCATTAGAGACTTTATCGAAAATTGCAAAAGGCAACGTTTCAGGTGCAACAACATATTTCTTTCAAAAAAAGATTTAGTGATTTGAAAGACGGATAGATGGATAGATTACGCTTTCAGTGTGCAGTTATGGTTGAAAAGATTTTCTTGCTGATATTAGCATCCTTCGTACGAAGCCCAATAGATATTTATACTAGTTCACTACTATGGCTAATTGTTTTTAATGAAAACCTGTTTAGGATCTCAAACCGAGCAACATTGTTGTTAAAAGTGATTGTAGTTTGAAAATATTGGATTTTGGTTTAGCACGAAGTGCCGGTGATTCATTTATGATGACGCCATATGTTGTAACACGTTACTATCGTGCACCTGAAGTTATATTAGGAATGGGGTACAAAGATAATGGTATGTTTTTGCACTGTACTTCATTTAGGAATTTTGTAATAATTTGGAGGTAAGGACTAAAATTTTTTCTGATGTTTAGGATATGAAGAAAAGGGTAAGAAATTTTTATTTATACAGTATCCTCTGTCTTTTGCTGACCACTCCTCAAATGAAAACGTGATACGACGGCGTTGTTTATGTATGCCTAACACGTAGTTAGATGAGTTATTAACCTGTTTTGGCAAGAGGCTGGATATGCTACAGTTGAAATGGACAAAGTGGTTTCTAGTTGAAACAAAACTAAAGGTAGATCACAACACTCAAAGTCGTGTAGTGTGGACCGGGAATTTCTAAGTTTTTTTTCACAAAACGCAGTTGTGTTTATTGTTGGATACTATTAGTCAGTTTTATCCTTATTCTGAAACTCTGCTTGTTTTGCTGAAAGGGAAAATATTTTGATCGGAGATTAAATCGAGAAGTTCCAGTGCATGAAGAGACATATGTTAGGAAGCAGTTGCGTCAATTGTTTATGTTATAAAATAATATGCATGGCTTCGTAGTTTGTTTTTGTTCGAAGATATACCAGATTGCTGCATAAATTTACGACATATTTTTACCGTATTTCTGCAATTATCGTTTATTACATAAGCATAATTTCATCCATTATCCAACGTCCAAAGGTCTAAAGATTTTTCGATTTGATTCATTCAAAATTTCCAATAGTGGTGTTGAGTTGAAAAAAAGTGACTTTACTAACATTTTTTTTCTGGATGCATATCATCTGCAAAGTTGTCTGGTACATTTTATTACCTGCCTTTGCGCTTGAAAGCAATATTAGCAGCAATTTTCAAGAGAAGTTTGCTTTGTTTAACTGTACCGTACTGCAGTTCCTTGAACTTAGGTGATATTTTCAGTGACTGTAGATGGTCATTATTCTTAGTCAATTTCATCATTTAGAAATATGAATATGACAAAATCATCCAAGCCAGTAACCCAAATGACACCACAAAACCTCGCTGCATATTTAGTTATTAGCACTTATTTTTCTACGGCTTTACTCTTCAGTTCCAAAATAATTGGTTTTTCTTCCGCTTCTTTTCTTTTCATTACTTCTTCACTAGAAGAAAATCTGTGTTATTATCATCTTCTGCAAAATTTACTAAAAATTCTGGATTTAGTTCGGTACTGATATTTTCTTGACTTAAAATAATTTGGAATAAATTAAATCAAACTGTTTTTAGACCTTTAGACATAAAAAAGTGAACGCAGCACTAATAGGTATTGTAAACACACGGTTTGTAATTTTTGCTTAGAAAAAAATCCTGAAAAAAATGTGGGTTTATGCATGAATTCAAATTTTCAACTGGCAACAATTATCCGACATACGATGGAAATTTGCGTGCCGTCATGCAATGCAGTATATGTGCTGTGTTGCTATGCAGTGTGCATTCATTAATTTGAGTTAAAAAAAAATCCGCAAAATGTAGTTCTTGCGTTACACTGCGATGAGCTTGATCGGGAAGAAGACCAATAGTAATGACATACCAACAACATACAGTGCCGACAGACACACTTCAATTTCATTAATTTCAAAAGCAAACTGCATGTGAAAATTAAAAGGCTTTAAGAAAATAGTGATGTGAGCGTACTTGGCTGATCTGTTGCTTAACTATTGTTAGCTAAATGATGTGTGCCCCTGGCAGACATTGTTTTGGCACTAGTTGCAGTTGATGTTTGGTCAACGGGCTGTATATTTGGCGAAATGATTCGTGGTAGTGTATTGTTTCCGGGCAATGATCATATTGACCAATGGACCAAAATTGTTGAGCAGCTTGGTACTCCTTCACTGATGTTCATGCGTCGCTTGCAGTCAACTGTCCGAAATTATGTGGAAAATCGTCCCCATTTCCCTGGTTTTCCATTCGATAAGCTGTTCCCGGATGAATTATTTCCAGCTCTCAGCAGTTCTGATTCACGACTTACTGGTATGCTTATTATTTTATTGTGTATCATATGTTTTAGTTGATATATGGTCGATTGGTTGTATTTTTGGTGAACTCATTCGTGGCCGAGTTCTTTTTCCTGGTACGGATCATATTGATCAGTGGTCAAAAATTATTGAGCAGCTGGGAACACCGGGACGCGATTTTATGCAGAAGTTGCAAGCAACTGTGAGGAGCTATGTGGAAAATCGTCCTAGGCATCCCGGTCTTCCATTTGAGATTCTCTTTAGTGATAACATATTCCCAAAGCCGGCAACCAACAACGCACTTTGTCGTAAGTTTCAAAACTACTGCTCAAGCAGAAAAAGGTTTCTAGGAAGCCTCTCAACTCGAGCTGTAGTTGTAAGAACTGGAGCAATAAATGTACGGTCTAGGGAAAACAAGAGAAGAGTTCTGAAATTTTTTTGTTATGTTGCAAATTTGTCAGGTATGTTTAGAACGAAGTAGTCGTTGTGTATTTCATTTCTTACAACAGTAACCAGTAACCGCGTCATCCTTCGCCGATCTCTTAAAAAAAAGGAAAAAAGATTCTGTAGGAATTAGAACTTATTGAAATATGAAGCAAAAGTTTAATACTTGAGGTATACCCTTTTTATCAAGATGGACACCTGATAATCTGAAATTTGCTACCTAGTTCTTTCACACTTCTTATTCCTATTTAAATATCATAATATTTGACTTAGTGGCCATCTTTATTTTGTTCTTTTAGCAGCACAAGCACGCGATTTGCTGTCAAAAATGCTGGTGATTGATCCGGAAAAGCGCATATCAGTAGATGAGGCTCTGAAACATCCGTATGTTTATGTATGGTTTGACGAAGCTGAAGTTTACGCTCCACCACCGGAACAGTACAATCACAGTATTGACTCGAGAGATCATACAGTTGAACAGTGGAAGGGTAAGATGTTAGGATTTTTAAACATTACTGTTTTTTTTTTTTTTTGTATGTATTTAGTTAAATTATTGGAATCGTGATTCGTGATTTTATTTGATCAATTTACCATTAATTTAAGATAACTAATGGAAATGAATGCATGTGGAATTTATTTGAAAAGAAGAGTGAAGAATATTAATATTTATTTTATAAGCACTATTGCATATTCTTACAGACAGTTGTTGTAGTGGTAGCTCTAAGTTTTTGTCTTCCCTGTTTATGAATACTCTCTGTAAGCTTCATCAAAAACTAGTGCTTTCGAATATTCGAATATATATTATAGTTTCAGTTTTGTGACTTAACTCTACATATGAAAATTAATTAAAGTGGAAGCGAATGCATAACATTTACAACTTTAGATGCATATCTGTTGTGGAATTCATATAAGGGCATCTTTCTAGTCTTCGTCCCATCTACTGTTCATTACAACTTTATACACTTCCTTTAGTAGTATTTTATACGAAACAAGTGCTAAAGTATTATTTTTTTAAGAACTAATATTCAAAGAAATCATGCAGTACGAGCAAACTCATGACGAATATGGAGTAAAGAAATCGTTGAATTGTACATCGGGTGCTGTACCGTCGTCTTCATCATCATTTCAGAACAATGAACATGGTGATTGCTCAACAACCGGAAATACTTTAGTTACAAATGGCTTGTAACATTTGTGGTTTTCTATTCATTTACTTTCTTTTTATTCTAGTCACTTTATCACTCTTTACCTTAAATAGGAGATATTGATGCCATAGTTGTTAGGTAGCTTTATGATGGAAAATCTTTGTGTAGGGGTGCTTAATAGATAGGATTCGTGAGCATTTGAGACAAAATGTAGCAGGTATTTTCTTTTAAAACATCTGTTGTAAAGCCTATCTATTGGTTTTATACTAGCTTTATGTGGGTTTATGGAAAATAAATAATGCTTATTAGAAATTTGTTCCAGTTAAAATACTTGCACATTATTAACTGCTCTTTTATACTTGGATAATCGATACAACAGTTTGCTGAAGGCTCTCTAAATACTGATATTGCGATATGTTCATCATGCAAATACGTTCAAATATAGGGCATGGTCCACGAAAATAGTTTTAAGTTTTCGTAAAAATCGAAAAAAAATTTTTCTGTGGAATTGCTTCAAAAAGTTGCGGTTTTTTTTTTCTTTTTTTGAAATAATCTTTTGCTTATAATTGTTTAGACAGAATGATAGGATTAATTGTTATGATCATCATTAGTTTTCTGAATTGCAAGTAGTATTTCTCTATTGCCCTACAATATAATTGTAAGAAAAAATGGCCTCGGCAAAAATTCCAGTGGTGGGAGGTTATACAACATCAGCAATGAAATGGTTGCGATGTTAATTCGAATCTATGGTTAGTTTTCATTATGAACGCAATGAAAGATTTTTATTTACCTTGCATTTATTTCACGTATAGGTTTTTACGAGTTACTACGTCGAAATGTTTTTAATAATACTTTATCAGAGTGCACAAAACATTTGGAGTTGATTATTGTACTGCATAGTTTATTTTCAAGAATATTAAATTGAAATCCTTTGTGTATGCTAGAATTTTACAAGCATATATGCAGTGCAGTAGTTCACGGTCTTTTTTTTTTTTCATCTCTTATGCTTCTGATATATCTGCAAGCGATATAATAGCTCACTGGAGTAATATTTATGTTTAAATATATGTCTGGATTGATCATTCCAAGTCAGGAATAAGCAAACCTATCAAATTTGCTTGGAAAGAATAAATTTGTGAAAAAAATCGAGATACTTTAAAACTGCGGATTGATAACTTGCAGTTTTGAAGAACTTTTATTTTAAATGCGGTGGAATGGACTTGTCGCCTCATTCCTGCTGTTTATCTTTATAATCTGGCTGAAAATAAGGGTTCGTCATTTCTTATTTGAGAAGAACTTGTTAGTGATATAAGAACTATCAATTAGAGATCAAAGGAGATAGAATTAAAGAAATTGACGTCTCTGTTACTTTGCATCTCGATGTTTTCGAGTCTGATCATATTACAGGCCTCATTATTCATAGTCTTACCTGTAAATGGTTGCTGTAATTGAGAGTTTAAAATCCTCCATGTATCAAATGTGAGATTAAAATAAAAGAGATACTGATAGTTTTGGGGAACTTAACATTATTTGCTTGACGGTGAGCTCCCACTTATAAATAGTTCCAGTTTCAATGGAGTTTATAGTGACGTTTGACGTAAATACCATATTAAAATATATGCATTATAATTAGAACAGCTATATAATTTTAGCGGCAAATGGCAAAAGTTTCAAATCAAATTCGATGATATTTTGAAAATTTATGATAGAGGAACAAGTTACAGCATCTATTTCTACAAAAAAAAAAACTTTGAACAGTACGATAATGTATAAGAAATTATTTATGCATGCAATACGAGATTAGTTGTACTCGATTGTTTTATAATAAATGGATAGTTGTTATCTAAATTGTCATCATATTTGAATATTATTACTGCTAGCTGCATTTTAAAATATTTTGCTACAAAGTTGGTTAAGGAGTTGTCTATCGATTGATTTCACTTTCATTTAAAGTAGTAGTACATCATTATGAATGTTTACTAGTGCCCAAAATTTTTACTGAAAGTTGGAATTCTTTTGGCTAACAAGCAAACCGCACTGTGGATGACGCATTACAGCAAACATCAACTATTAAAATAATTTTTGCCTAGAAGCTGATGATAGTTTTTATGTTTTGAATGTGGAAGAACAGTTGCGTCACATTGGTGTTACGGCTCCTTTTTTTGCGGCAATTTCACTAATGCTATCCATAACTGACGCTTCGAAAGTGTCCCGATAAAGTAGTGATACGGTGTGTTGGTAAATTTTTCTGGTTAAATGACTAAGAAATTTGGCTTTAATTAAACTCAGTGATGAGGTGGCGTCCGAAGAAAGTGTTGTATTAGTACCATCTGGTGGAAATCCATTAAGCTGCGGCCGCTTTTGAGCATCGAATACATCTTTCTGAATTTACCTTTTTCCTTGAAGATTAGATAAAGAATGGAACTAACTTTTAAAATACCAAAGCCACTAGTGTAAATATTGTAATGTGCGCGTTACTATTTCATTGGTAAAAGTGATGTAAAAATGGGTCTTTGAACTTATCCCTAAAATCTCATTTTAATACTGAGAAAAAATAAATGTCTGAGCAATTATTACCTTATTGAATAACACAATGAAATGCGACTTTTTCAGTGTGAAATTATTGCAAAGTTGTGTGAATATAGTGACGCATTCATCTTCTACACTCTGAAACTTCGGTTTTTTTTTTGCAAGCATTAATTTGAATCGTTTATAATCGTAAAAAAAATGTTCAATAATAAGCCAGAATATGTTCAATGACTTTCTCTACGTGAAAGAAAAAAATTGAACTAAAACATTACTGATAGGCGCTCTTTTCGAAGTCTGCAAAATGCGGTTAAATCAACAATGTAAAGAAGAACATTTATAATACTATAGAATTTGTCCCACTTCCGTCGAGAATACTCGCTGCCACCAATGTCCACAATACTACAAAAAAACAAAAAAAAATTATTGTAATGCAGCCAAAATTCTATATTGCTTTATCAAATGTGGAGATTAGAAATATCTTAACGATGTCATTTTTGTTCCACTAGCATAGTTATCTTCTGATAAAGAATATTACAAATTAAGATGCTAGACGCTTATTTAAAACTTGAGTAGAAGAGTTGTTTCAGTATAATTACGAATATACCTCTTTTTATACGCTCCATACTACGCATAACATTTAGTGGCAGTTATTAAAATGATAAAGAATCTGTTTAGGTTGAAAATCATTATCGTTTCAGATTTTGCTAGTAAGGTACGGCAATAGCAGTGAAAAAGGATGTATTGTTTGAGTTCAGAATTTATAAAAAGTATCTACCTGATTGATGCAAATGAAGTACGGTAATGTATTTGGTCGATTCCAATTGTTGGTGCATACGAATTTAAGATATCGATCTCAGTCGGAATATAGTCACTGGCCGTAATTCTTTCAATATTATCGAAGAAACTTCAAAACTCAAATTGTCTTCATAATTTCAAAAATGAGAAAGAAAATGCATGGATGGAGACCATTGGTGATAATTTCATCAGCAATCACATGAAATTTCACACATACTACAATTTATAATATTTGAAAGTCTTGAATGTAAAGGCGTCTAAATATTATTTTTCAAGTTAAGTTTTCATAATTTCTTAGAAATTGTAGTGATACTATCATAAAATTACAGCATTCACCCACTACTGAATATTTTGGACAAGTGATAATTTATTGCAAGTTCGAATCAATTTCTGTATTGTACTGTCCTTTGGAATATCTTTGATTGCTCGTAAGCAATTGCTACTTAGTTTGTCCAGTGTCTTATTGGCTAAGATAATATCGAATTTTTCCTGAAAACAGTTTTAGTTATGCTGAAAAGATTGGTTAAGTAAGTTAAAATTTTTTTTAGAGTTACCAGGTGTTTCGGACAGTTCAGGAATTGATATAAAAAAAAAAAACACTTTCATATTTTAAATGAATCCTTCTTTTAACTTGGCTGATATGAAAATATTGGAGAAGCAAGAATCAAAAAACCCTCTGTTTAGAAATATCCAAATTCAACTCTTTGCACGCTTGAAAGATATCACTGTATATCTGAACTAGATTTTGTAATAAAATGCTTTGATAGAAACTTCTTTCCAGTGGTTTACATTTTCCGCACAGCCTGGAAAAGCAATTTTTGGGCGCACTGAAATTATGTGTTCATTAAAGAAAGTAATGATGTAAGAAACATTTCTTGCAACCATGGTTATTAATTAATAATAAAACTATCTATTTAATATTATGGAATGAGTGGAAGAGGCAATGTTGAGATAGCATTTTGGCTTATTGAGGTTAAAAGCAACTGAACTTCGAGCAATATTCTATCATTCTTTCCGGCACATTTCTGTTCGGACTTCTTTGGGTCAAGATGTAAAAATTCCCGAATTTCACTTATTCTTCTTATTAATCATTTATTCTTAATAACAATATATAAAAAATATGAAAGTTATTTACTGAAACTAGTTTTATTCAAAACAAATACTATTTCCACTAAATCCCTTAAATTTCAATAAAATTTAATTGCTTCACTTTAAAGTCTTTTGAGTTGGATATGTTGAAAATATGACTGAAATTACTTTCTGTAATTAGTTTTTTTTTCACTAAAAAGTACGAATAAAATTTAATTGTTACTCAACCTGAGTTGACGGAAAAGCGTTGTTTTTCCTACTGCTGCTGTACCTGCAAAAAAATTTTTTAAAGAAAATTATTTTTAAACTAGCACAGTGAAAAGGGAGCAAAGGAAGAAGGAAGAAGCTAAGACAGGAAATCACTAAATTAAAAATATTCCTCGAATTCCATGAAATCCACAGCAAACTTTCAGGAATTTACAGCGATTTTAGCACTAAAAATTTCACAGTGAAATAAATATTTTTATTATACAAAAGTGACTAATCAAAAATTAGACATTAATTTGTTAGTTTGTCCTGTTGATATTACATTGTTTTACCATGTATTTTCATTATTCTTTTCATTATCTATTATATTTAAAATGACAAAAAATGATCATTTAATGTTATTTTTCAGAATCCAATTTCATTG